GAAAGATAGTTCAGGAAACACTTGAATTATAGAAGTCAACTTTAGAGTCTAAAGGTTCTCGTTTCAGTAGAACTAAAACTGACTACATTGAATGTAATTTTAGTAGAGTAGTAGATCTAGTGGTGGGGTTGTAACTATGGATGATCAAGTCATTAAAATGAGTGAATATTTTAGATATCTCACGTTCATTGTTCAAAGTGATAGTGGTATAGATAGGGATTTTATTAGTAGATTTCAAGTTAGATGATTAAAGTGAAGGAATGCATCAGGTCTATTGTATGATAAAAAAATACCACTTAAACTTGAAGAAAAATTTTATAAGACTATGGTAAGAACTGTAATGCTTTATGGCATAGAATATTGGCCTATAAAAGAAAAGCAAAAAATTAAGTATTACTGAGATGAGAATGCTCAGGTGAATGAGTGGCTTTACACTTAGAGACAAAATGCAAAAAGAATATATCCGTGAAAGGACTAAAGTAGCTCCAATGGCAGAAAAGATCATAGAAAGTTTCCTTCAATGATTTGTTCCCATTAAATGTCGACCATCTGATGACTCAGTTAGTAGAGTAGATGTTTTAGATTTGACTTATGTTAAGAAAGTTAGAGGAAGACCTAAAAACATTTAGGCATATTATATAAAAAATAATCTTAATTTATTGGAATTAAATGAAAACATGACACTCAATAAGATACCAAGGAGGAAAAGGATTTATGTAGTCGACCCCACTTAGTGGGATAAAGGCTTGTTGTTGTTCTTGTTGCTTATAAAATCTATTACATCACAGATATTCTCTTGATAAAGATGTTAAAGGATAAAACATCTTCCATGGTTCCATATCTCTCTCCATCATCACCTGCCTTCAATTCATAGTATTCCACTTATGTCCTAGCCACACAAGCATTTTATAACTCTTTTCTATTTGTGTGTTTGTCTCATTTTTTTCTTCTTCTCAAATAATTCATATATGGAATAAGAAGAATCAATAGAGATCCACATGAAAAAAGTGTAACACAGATTCCAATAAAAGATGATTTGATGTTTTCATCTATAAAGGAAGATATCATTATATGAGGTCTTGTTTGGCAAATAATTCACTGTTAGTAAACTTCAACAAAGAAGTGTTCGTGACTTCAAAACAACAAGCTTTACTTCATTAGAGTGAAGATTACAAAATCCAATTATGCCTAATTGCAAAATCTTGATTTGTCTATTTGTAGATCACACTAAAATCCTACTTAACAGAAAGAGAGAGAAAAGAGCAGAGAAGTGAATAGTGGGAAAATGCCCCATAGATCTCAATAGAGTAGTAATTTGGGGCAAGGCAACTTAAGATTGTACACATGATACTCATGAATGTAGATATGATAAATGTGTGGTGATCAATATCCTATTTGTGTTGAATAATTGCATGTCATTCTTGATGATAAAATTGTGTTGCAATAATTCTTTGATCTCTCATCTTCAAAGTGGAGTCGTTAATGATCATCATAAATGTTCCCTTGATAAAGATAATAAAAAATGAAACATCCCCCTTTGTTCTACATCAGCTTAAGAGAAAAAATTTGTATAGCTCTTCCATAATTCAAGCGTTGGTCACCTTTTTCTAATTTTAAATTTTCTTTTTCGCATAAGGGGCCTGATATTAAAAAAATAAGAGAGAAAATGCTACTTATTCAAAAATTTTGAAATGAAGATACTACATTAAAAGAGAAGTGCCACGATACATGGAAGAGAGAGAAAATAGCCAAATTTCATAATGCATGGACTTAAAGAGCTCAACCATATCATAAATGGTTCCATTTTATCTGTGAATACTGGCACATTATTATAATAACGATGGTAATAAATAAGAAAAATATATCATTATTATATGGTTTTCTCAATATATTAACAATTGCATGCCAATCTTGATGAAATTGTGTTGTAACAATTATTTGAACTCTCTTATTTTTTTATGTTGAACCTTTATTACATCCTTTTTGTGGAAAAGACTAGAGAAAGTTAAAAAATAAATATATAAATTACGGAGATCAACTTTAGAATTTAAAAGCTCTCTTTTGAGAACATCTAAAACTGAATACATGGAATGTAATGTTAGTAGTGGTAGATCTAGTAGTGGGGTTGTAATTATGGGTGACCAATTCATTAAAAGGAGTGAGATTTTAGATATCTCGGGTCTATTGTTCAATGTTCTATTGTTCAATCAATGTGATGGTGATATAGATGGGGTGTTATTAGTAGAATTCAAGTTGGATTGTTGAAGTGGATGAATGCATAGGGCCTATATATTCCGAGATAAAAAAGTAGCACTTAGAATAAAGGAAATTTTTATAAGATAGTGGTGAGACTAAAAATACTTTATGGCACATATGTTGGCATGTAAAAGAGAAGCATAAAATTAAATTAAATGTTATTGAGATGAGAGTGCTTAGGCGGATGAGTGTCTTTACACTTAAGAGTAAAATTTGAAATGAATTTATATGTGAAAGGGTTGAAGTAGCTCCAATGGCAGAGAAAATTAGAGAGAGTCATCATCAACCCAGTTAAGAGAGTAGGTGTTTTAGATTTGACTTATGTTGAGAAAGGTAGAGGTAGACCTAAAAAGACTTGTCCATGTCATATAAAAAATAATCTTAATTTATTAGAATTAAATGAAAAAATGACACGCGGTCGGGTGAAAATGAAGAAAAATGATCTATGTAGCCAGCTCTACTTAGTGAGATAAAGACTTGTTGTTGTAGTCGTTGCTGTTTGTAACCTTTCTTACACCACAAAAATTCACATGATAAAGATGTTAAATGATAAAACATCTTCCTATGTCCTATATGTCTCTTAGCCATCCATTACATTCAACCCATAGTATTCTATTTATGTCCGAGCCAAGCACACCTTTCATAATTCTTTTCCACTTGTGTATTTTTCTCATTCCTTTTTTTTCCAAAAAAATTTATATACGGAATAAGAAGAAAAAATAGAGATCCACATGAAAAAAGTGAAACAAAGATGCCAGCAAAAGATGATTTGATGTTTTCTATCACAAGAGAAAGATGATTATATGAGGGGCAGATTGGAACATAATTCATTATTAGTACATTTCAACAAAAAAGTGTTTGTGACTCCAAAACAACAACAACCTTTTCTTCCTTGGAATGAGGATTAAAAACTCCAATTATGCCTAAGGATTATGGTTGTCACCTTATATAGAAATTAGGTTGGGGGGTGATAGTTACATGCAGTGTGGAGGCTATATGTAGATAAAAAGCTCCTCCTTATGAAAGAGACATAAATATATTAATAGAAAAACCAAGATATTTCCTTATTGTCAAATCTTGATTTGTCTGTTTGTAGATTGCACTAAAACCCAACTTCAAAAAAGAGAGAGAAAGAGCAGAGAAGCAAGTTGTGGGAAAATGCCATAGAGTTCTCACAAGAATAGCAACTTGGGCAAGGCAACTTATTGTAACCCCGCTCAGAGACCAAGTATTAAGCACTATATGAAAGGCTACAAAATATATCACATGTAAAAAGTATAAAACAAGATCAATTAATTAATCACTGTAAAATATACGAGTGTAACATGTGAAGTTAGATTAGTACTAAACAAAGAAGAATTTGTTGGTTCTTGTAGTGGAAATCATTAAGTATCTCCTATGTTTGGGCCACAGTGACTAAGCTTGGTCAGCCTAGTGAGTTTACACTACCTCTAGCAAGTTTTCTACGAGCCTAGTAGTTGAGCTTTCATTGAGACCAAAAGGTTGGTACACCTCATTGTGGACATTTAAGTTTGTCTAGAACCCAACCAACCAATTCACTCTTAGAGTATTTTGGGTATATATTTAATTCTCTAACTCTCTCATGTCTTTAGAGGCTGATTACTAAAAATAGTCAGAGACTAATAGAAAAAAGTATCTTTTCTAAGTAAAAAAGTGAGATTTATTATAGAGCTCTTTTCCTTGAGTAATTCTATGCGCTGTCACGTCAATATCAATGCTTTGTTTAACTTTGTAGGAGATAACTTTGTAAGAGATGGTTAGTGCAATAATGCAAATTTAACTTGCAAGTAAGAGGTAATGACAATAATTAAAAAAAGTTGTTATTGATTTTATTACCTTCGTATTTTATTCATGTTAACATGACTATCTCTGTGAATGCACGCACACACAAAAAAAAACAAATAAATAAATAAAAAGCAAGAGAAGCTTCAAATATTATATTTGCAAAATTGAAAGTATATGATTCTACAGATGTCCCCCACATAGTTCCGGCAACACTTCCGGCCACCCCTCAGATATATATATATATATATATATATATATATAGCTCATCATAACTCTTTGGTTAGCATCTGCAAATTAGTTCTAAGTCCCCCGGGGTCACCGGTTCGAGCCTGACTGTGTTCATCTGTCTTGCAGCGCGAGATCGAATGGTTAAGCACATGAGTGGTTGGGGGCTAGTATCATATCCTCCGACCACTTTTAATATATATATATATATATAGAGAGAGAGAGAGAGAGAGAGAGAGAGCCTCAATTTATTTATTTTTTTTGGAGGAGATGAATTTAGCATACCACATAATTCATATGTATTTGTAAATCTAACACTTAGAATTTAACATTTATTTAGATAATATCAAATTTTAAACATCATATAAAAAATATCAACAATACTATTTTTCTAACTAAAATACACTTTTTCATGTATACCTTTTGATGTGATTGTATAACTAAAATGCTAGATAAGTAAATATCAAATTTTAAATATAAAATGTGAAAATACATAAAAATTGTGGGGTATGTCGGTAAATCAAACATTTTTTTACTCAACTTAAAACTTGATTACATGTCAAAACTGAAATTTCAATTTCCTCTTGAATTCAGCATGCTCTAAATAAACTCCAATCCTCCGCGGCTCAATCAAGCAAATAAATGACAGCTCAAAATTTCGAAAGCAGCATATCAAAAATGAATAATGTAAATAAAGAGTATTAAGCGATCACCTGCTCCGGCAAATAGGTGCGGCCCAGGAAAGAGCTTCCCAGTCCGGAACCAGGTATTGACTGCACCTCCAACGGCCTCAAACACACCAAACCCCAACAATATTGATCCAGCATTAAAGTGTCGGTCCCTAAACCCGCCTTTCAACAGCTCCTTCCTCTCCTATTCAACGAATAAAAGAAAGGAAATTCGCACAGAACTTTCGTCGAACACCTTCAGAACGCAAGAAAATAAACTTCATCCCTACCTCAGTAAGCAGCAACATCTTCCGCTCCACGGAGGAAGACTCTGTTTGTGGCGGAGGTGCCGGCTCACGGCTGCCCATATCGACACCTCCAGCGGCGACGGCGGCGGGTACAGGTGACTTGACCTGCTTCTTGAGCTCGTTAATCTCTTCCTGGATGGTGCGTATACGTCGCCATTGCCATCCAAGGTATCCAGTCCAAACGGTGTAGAAGAAGAGGCCGCCCATCACTAGCGGGTGTATGAGCGCGAAAGTGCGCCCCTCGAGGATCCCGAACTCGCCACCAACTGCGAGCGCATCCGGAGGGAGGACAAATTCCGGTAGCGAGAAAACGGTTGCTGAGGCGGCCGCAGCGATGGCGATGCCGGCCGTGGATGAGGGGAGGGTGGCATTGAGGGTGTGGGGAGAGAGAGTGGGGAGGGGAGAAGTGGGTTTCGTGAGTTTTAGGGCTGGGATTTTGGAATTCGGAGAGAGACTGAGGAAGCTGAGAGCAGCGGTGACACTTATGGCCATCGATTTGAACGGAAGAAGAGCTGAGAAGGGGCGAAGGATAAAAGAGGACGCAGATCGCTGCGCGCGCGTGGCTTGACGGGTGTGCGCCGTGCCACGTAGGCTGTATTATGCACGGGCTCATTTGCCACTAGCTCAATTGAAAATTTTGACTTATCCTTGCGTGCATCAAAGATGTTATTCATAGCATATTAATGAGTTATATCTGTGTTATACTCATGTAACCTCCTTATAACTTATCTGTAACATATATCTACATTCTAGTAAGTTTTGTGATTCTTCTTTCATATATTTGTAGGTTGCAGGTAGGTTACACGGAAGGTACAGGGGATATAACGCAGATATAGCCCCTCATACTCTCTGAATCTTCCTGACGTACGCAGTGTTGCGTACGTCTTAAGTACGCAATTTTTTCTCCCAGCTCAGAGGACTACTTATTTTCCCCCATTTTTCTTAAAAATTTATAACATAAAATGGTGTGGACTTGATATATTTTATGGAGTATTTAGAGTATATTCAAGTGAGTACACACTCAATACACCCTAAAATATGAAAAAATATTACCTCAGGAGTACTGATGCATCAGTACTCCAATG